ARAAGTGGATGGACTCGATTGGTACGTAATTATTAGGATTTTTTGGAAAAGAAGTGACTACAATTGATGTTAAACTAGCATGCTATTGTTGATGTTATAGTGGGTGTTAAAGTGGTCAGTAGCGATGCATAATTTTAGAACAGTTTTAATGATTTCGCTGTGACAATTGTTGATCTAAAACAAAGGTATTGCTACCACTTCTGTTACTGAAATTTTGCACATCAATGTTATTCATTGTCAATTAGTTCTAGTGAATCCTTTGAGTTCATTTTTAAGAATAACTATCTTCAGTGATTTATTCAGTTTTGAGCCTTGTTTATTACATTTTTAGCCCTCTATGGCTTCACTCCACCTCGGCAATCAGTTCATGTACCATATGACTATAAATGGAAACTGTTGAGCTTTCTTCTTTCATTTAATTATTTATGAATTAGTTTATGAATTTATTCTCACGGCTGGGAGAAGAGATGAAGACAAAAAATGAAATAAAAACTTGTTAACTATGAAATATATGTTTTCTAAATATTTATATTTGGGAAATGAGCCCGTCTTGAGGAACTAAAGGAATAAAATGAATGGTTTATAGATCATCAAAAGCCATCATGTATTAAATGCCACGATGCCACGAGCACATTAGTACGAAGCTATGTAGCGAATACTTCTCAGCCTACGTCTCCAATAAATAAAAAAGACGCTTATAAAAATCAGCAAGTGACCCCGCAATACGCCATGAATTTGGTCAGCGGATTCTTTGATGCAACAATTGTCACTTTAAAAACTCATTGTGGATGCAGAAGCGCAGTTAAGGTAGCTAAACACAGTTTTTGTTACCTGTGTTTCTTTCACCATTTTCTCTAAGACCCTTGATCTCTCGGTCGCCAAAACTGGCAGCAAGCAAGTTAACAACACAAACTTTGTAATTTTCGATAGTTAAGCAGACGTATGTGTCGTTGCCATGGTGACATGAATAGATATAAACAGGCCTTTAAAATCGGTTTTGTTCATTTGTAGAAAATCTAGTCATTAATTTTCTTTATAATTTGCATGCAACGAGCTTGTAACGATACTCACAAGTTAACACCATCTTGCTAACAATTTAACATAGAGATCTATAAATATCCCTTGCTTAAGGTTCACTCGATTATTTAGAATTTCCTTTGTTAAAAATCAATTTTTTCAATACTCTAGTTATTTATTTCCTTAAGTGTTTTCGTGCCAAATTTCGTAAAATTCCATTGAGTGGTTCTCAAGAAATAGGCATATTTCCTTGAAAGCAATTTTCCATTCATTCAATCGCAATTTTTTTCCTATCACGCATGCACTGCATTTAACTGGGTTCTCTCGGTAACGACTAAAAAGCTGAGAATTGCTGGGTCCTTTGCAACATCTCTTTGTAATAAAAGATTAAAGCCCTGAATACACTGCGCCACCTATAGAGAAAAATAGCACAGATAGAGCGGATACGTTTTGAGTAAATTAAATGACATCTCTTTTGACGGCATGTTTGTTTTTTGCAATCCTTGTGCGCGCACTGAATTGCATCAGCAAAAGCGCGCGCGAAAACTGTGAGGAAGGAAATTGTAGCGTACTTAGAAAGTAATCCGTGTGATAGCGATGGCCTCCCTCTTTTGGAGCATTTTGGCAGATGATGAGTTCGCTTGCTTATTGTTAAGCTTATGAGTTAAATAGTCGTCCCCCTGGGACGACTATTTAACTCATATGGCGCGAGATGGGACCTATGGGGACCAGATAAGGCTGTATGCAGCGGCGAACTTGTACAA